TAGAAAATTGCTTGAATAGATTAATTGTCTTAGTTTAATTTAGTTGATAGTTAATCACAAGTCCCTATGGGTACGATATCTGGACTTACAATCCTATATTACTTGTTGGCCACGTATACTTGCGAGTGCATTTTGGAGCAACAAGTTTTTGGCGCTGTTGCCGGAAACTTAGAAATTAACTAGTCTACTATATTAGATTTTTACTTTTTGTCTATTCAAGTTTAAATTTTAGCTTAGTTTAATATTTTATTATCTTTGTTTACATGGCACAGAAATTGTCGAATATGGTTATTCTTATTTTGGTGATCCATGTCCATATTGTGGAGGACCACACTTGTGGCAAAATTATGAATATCTATCTTATGTGTGGAATTTTTGTAATGTGTGTGGTTGTCAAGGTGGTTATTGGGATTGCTTTCCTAATTCTTATTATCCTTATCAGAGCTCTTATTATAATGTTTCTAATAATGTTTATGAGTTTGATAGGAGCAAGAAGTTGGAGGATATGGAAAGTGTGGCTCGTATTATGGACATGATGAGGTAAGTAGCAGAGCAACAGGACATGATGATAAGGCAAGTAACCGAGCAACAAGATGAAAATCAAAAGGCTATATAAAGAATTAGTACAACAATTATGAGAATGAAGGCCAAGGCGGAAGAAGTGGCTAAAGAGAGTGAGTTCCCACAAGAAGAAAATTTAGAAGAAGAAGATAAAGTGAGCCAATCATGACTAAAGGAACAAGCTCAATTAATAAAATCTCATGAGTTTCTTCGTGATGGTCTTTCAAATATGATAGAACAACTGATAGAAGGAAGAACTGAGCTCAGGCAAGAAATATACAAATTTGGATCCGATATCCATGACCTACAGGCTAAATTGAATAAAAAAGTTGAGGCATCTAATGCCCTACAACAAATTTTTGTGCATATTGGCCAGCTTGTGGAGAGGAAAGAGGAATTCAAACCATTTGACTAAAATATTATTAATGATGCCAAGGTTAAGGAAGTGTGCAAAAGTGAGGATGTTAAAAGTGAAGGAGTTTTAGAGTTGGAGCGTATTGGACCTCATTCTAACATTTTTTCAATATTGTGTTTGGTTGGTGATACGAGAATTGATCCACCCGAACATATGGAGGAGTCAATGGATGAGGAAAAAAATGCATATATTATGAAATTTGCGATGCAAGAGAAAACAACATCCCTCACTTAAAGGTCAAGAAGTGCAAGATGCGACATTGTTTGCTTGGTTCTTTTGTATTCACACCACTGCCCCAGGAACGTGATAGAAAAATTGATGCAAAATTGGGGGCACAATTCATATCCTTAAAGTGGAAGAAAAAGTGGTGAAAGTGATTGCGCCGTGCCGCGACATTAAATCAGGCGCTTGTTGGGAGGTAACCTAGCTTTACTGCTTTCTTTTATTTTTATTTTTATTTTTATTATATTATTGTTGTAGTGTCTATTTTTCTTTTGTAGGATTATAAGCATAGTAAGCAAAGCAATTGAAAGGGTGCAAAAAGCGAGCTAGATGGTGAGAACTAAGTGTGGGGTACCCACATAAAGGACCATACATGGGAGAAGTCTGAGTACCAGTGAGCTGTTAATTCTTCGGCCTTTGGCCTAGCAGGGAGTCTTTTTTACCCTCTTGTTATTTATAGTGTGCATTGAGGACATTGCAAAATTTTAAGTCTGGGGTGAGGAGATTGTCTGGGTAATTTTCTGTGCTATCTTAGCTTTGTTGTAGTACTCGTTCTTAGAGTAGTAGTTTTTGTTAGACAAAAATTCAGAAATTTGGGACTTTTCCCGAGGATAGATCTCCTAGACAATTTTTTTGAGGGATTTAAGTTGAAAGAAAAAAGACAAAAAGATTTTTTTTGTAGGTAGTGTAGCAATTACCCCTTGATTTTTCTTTGTGTCGCGGTTCTTTTCTAAGGGTTTTGTTTAAAGCGGGTGTAGTTAGTTGTATTATTTTAAAAGTAGGAGTCATTGTGCTATGAATTGAATTGGAACAATATCTTGACTTTATTATGTCTTGAGAATGGTGAGTACTTTGGTTGTGACTCTTAGGCTTAGTTTTTGACTCTTGTATAAGTACCTTAAATTGTATGATCTTAACATTGCTTAACTGCTTTGACTAAAGTGTCTTGATGAGTCCAATCCTGAGTGAGTTATGTGCCATATATGTGTGAGGTTTGCGTGTTATTCTGTGCATTCCATTGGATGTCTAAAACTTGTCTCGTGTGTCTGCAAAGCGAAATAGGAGTTTTGTTCAGTCTTGGAAGTGATATAGGCATTTCTTTGTTGAGCCAGTTATATGCTTTTACCCACCTAATTGTTATGTATCGTAGTTAACCCTTTTGAGCCTGTAATCCTGTTTCTTTGGCAGCCATATTACAAGCCTTACCCATTTGTTTGAATTAACCATCTATTTGAATCTTTTCACCTCTCATGAGCACTTGGAATTGTTATGAACTTTATAAAAGTTAAAGTTTGGGGTGGTTAGTTTGGCTTTTGAGTAGAACTAATGAAATAAGAAGAAATAGGCATTGTTTTGAAAAAGTAAGAGCCACTTGAATTGAAAAAGAAAAGAAAAAAATAGTTGTATTGTTGTGAAAAATATTCCTTAAAAGTGGTAACTCTTAATGTAATTATGCTTAAACAAGTAGGGAGTTGATGTATATTAATATGAAGGTGGAGTTATGGGTTGACATAAGTGTGAGGTTTTAAATGTTAAAGTGTATGTATTAAAGTTCTTAGGGAGGTGTAGTCACTCTTATATTTAAATGTATCATACTCGTCCCGCAGCCTATATTACAATCAATTAAAGTCCTACTTGATCTTAGAATGAATGAGCTCGATTAGTATAGCAGTACACTACGAGCAAGCCTATGGTGCATCTTTTGTGCCATACGAATATTGTTTCTGAGAGTGAAAGAATTCTTTCTATCTTGAGTTCCTAATTGTTCTTAAATTTTTATTTAGTGTGGAACTACTCTCTTTTGTTGTGTGAGGGAAGTTGATTCATATAGGAAAGGTAATGCTTGACCACTACGTTAGAGTAAGTGAGCGGGTTGTAAAAAATGTGTGGTGCATATGAGTCAAATCTTGAGGTGATGATGTTACACTATTGTGCTTAGTCTATTTTAAATATTATTGGTATAATGAATTAGGAGGATTGTTTAAAAAGGTTGTGTCTATATAAAGTGTAGTTTGATTGCTCGAGGATGAGCAATGGTTTAAGTGTGGGGTGTTGATGGTAGGCTATAATTGCGTATTTTTGTTGCTTGTCGCTGTCTAATTTACTGCACTTTTATTGTGTTTGAGCTTTAATCGCTAGTATTTAGCACTTATTGTGTGTTTTATGCCTTGTAGGAGCGATTCTGAGGTATGTAGATGTTGTGGAACTAATTGGAGCTATTTGGAGCTTTGAAGTTTGAGTAAAAGCCAAGGGATTAAGTTGGAATCGTGTTCCGGGGTCGAGGATCAATTCTGGACGTCAAAATTTAAGAAAGAAACAACTGGTCAAGAAATGCACTGGTGCGAGGCACCGTGTGACGCATTAGTGCAAATTTTTGTCAGAAATTTCCAAAGTTCAGAGACTGTTTTTTTTGTGGTCTGACAGGAAAAAAGAATTAGTGCGACGCATGGGAAGCACTAGGTTTGCAAGTTTTCCTATTTCGGCTAGAAAAGAGAAACTTCATCTAGGCCCGACCCTACTTGGTATAAATACATGAAAAAACGTTATTTTGGGGACTTTTGACATATCTTAGACCCAGGGAGAGTACACACCACATTTGGAGGAGGCTTCTAACTAGTTTTTCTTCTCTTCTCTTCCTTTAATTTTCATAGTTTATTAGTTCTAGAGTGTTGGGTGCTACATGAACGTTGTAGTTTGAAGCTTGAATTGTTCTTATTATTTTATCATATTGGATTATTTATTCAATCTTGCGCTTAATTATTTGATTGTTTGATCACCAATTGAATACTATCTCCGAATCTAGGATTGAACTCGGGAGAGGGACTTCTAGATTGCATATAAGATTGGGTAGAGCGAGATCTTGAACTCGAGCATCGTGAATGGATTTGCAGTTAGGATAGGGATATATCTAATCGCCTTGCTTGGTTACTATACAGGAATTATTAATGCATTCTTGTTAATCCTAATTCCATAGGAATATAGGCGTTAGGTTAGCTTGAATAAGGGAGTAGTACTTCGGTTGAAGGCTACGAGCAATATTATCCCTGTCAATCAATAAACCATATAAATTAATTAGACAATTTAAGTGGATGACTCAACGGGATTATTAGCTAACCCATAGCTCTAGAATATCGACTCCCATTAAATTCGTGTCTAAGTTTGCCAATTTGTTTCCTTTGTTTCTTAGTTTTCTACTCTAGATTAATTGTAGTTAATAATCTTTAGAAAATCGCTTGAATAGGTTAATTGTCTTAGTTTAATTTAGTTGATAGTTAACCACAAGTCCGTGTGGGTATGATATCTGGACTTACAATCCTATATTACTTGTCGACCACGTATACTTGCTTGTGCGCTTTGAAGCAACACTGGCAGATGCTGTAACTGAAATAACGCAACTGAAATAACTCAGACACAATCAATATTTTTTTAGCTTGGCTTTCAAGTCCCAAAAGCTCCAACTCTATGGTGTGACAATATTAGAGCTGCTTATCTCTCCATTAATCCTATTTTTCACTGGAGAATCAAATATGTGGAGATTGATTTTTCATTTTGTGCGAGACAAAGTTGTAAGGAAATCTTCGAATTCAATTCCTTTCTACCAAAGATCATTTGAGAGATACATTTACCACGCCTTTGCAACGGGATTGTTAGACCATCCTGATCATCTCACCATTTGAATTAGATTCTCTTCATAATGATATGGGTGTATATATAGTCAAATTTTCCCTATATTAGCGACAAAGCCTCTTCACCATAGACAAGGTAAATGCAAGGTCCACCTCTCTTTCTATCCATCATTCTGAATCTGTTCTTAGACAAACATTCTGTGTCCACTAGGAGTATTCAACTCTGACAACAAACCTTTGTCAAATAATACACCACCCACCTTAGTCCCCCCAAACACACACCATGACACACCTCCTAAGAAAAAAATCAGAGAAATTCTCTCTCTATTTACAGCAGCACATTGTTTCTCCACAATTATGGCCGCTGTCCTCTTCCCCCACCTTCTATCCTTAATCTTTTTCCTCCTTTTTCTATCACATCCACCTCCTTGTTTTTCCATTGGAGATGATGAGGCCCTGGTTGAATTTAAAGAATTGTTAACAAATACCTCAGCTCTTGATTCCTCATGGAAAAAAGGAACAAATCCTTGTGACAATAACAAGAAATGGGTTGGTGTTCAATGTGAAAAAAATGTTGTCCAAGGCCTAATTCTTGGTGGATTTGGGCTTTCAGGGGATATTGATGTCGATCCATTGGTTAGGCTTCAAGGCCTTAGAGTTCTCAATCTTGCAAACAACTCTTTCTCAGGGTTCATTCCTGAATTTTTTATGCTTGGTGCCCTTAAGTCTCTATTCATTGATGGGAATCAGTTTACAGGGGAAATCCCTGGAAATTTCTTCTCCAAAATGTCATCTCTCAGGAAAGTCTGGCTTTCGCGAAACAAGTTTTCAGGGAAAATTCCTGATTCTTTAGCTAGTTTGAAATATCTTTTGGAACTTCGCCTGGACAATAATGAATTATCAGGGACAATTCCATCTTTGTCACAGGGGACTCTGATATCTATCAATCTGTCAATTAATAAATTACAAGGCGAAATCCCACAAGGTTTGTCAAGATTTGGTTCAGACCCCTTTCAAGGAAATCCAGAGCTATGTGGACAACAATTAGGGAGAGAATGCAAGGCTGCAGCCTCAGGGGAAAAATCTGAAGGTTCCAGCATAAAATGGATAATTATTGGCTTAGTGGTTGTTTTGTTATTGGTGGCTATATTTTTTAAGACAAAGCGCAAGGAAGATCACTTCGAAAAGCTTGAAAAAGAGAATCTTGATGAATCTGTGAGCGTGAATATTCCAATCTCAAACAAGAGAAGCATGAGCTTGCGCAACTCCATGCGGTCATCAAGGAGAGGACGCTCACGAAGTGGCAGCGATATGGGTGATCTTGTGGTGGTAAATGAAGAAAGAGGCATATTTGGATTGCCTGATTTGATGAAGGCATCAGCTGAAGTCCTCGGGAATGGAGGATTAGGATCAGCTTATAAGGCAGTACTGGGAAATGGTTTGTCACTCGTCGTGAAGAGGTTGAGGGAGATAAATAAATTGAATAAGGAAACCTTTGATACAGAGATCAGAAAGCTTGCCATGTTAAGGCACAGGAATTTATTGCAACCATTGGCATATCATTACAGGAAAGAGGAGAAGCTGGTGGTGTCTGAGTACATTCCAAAAGGCAGCCTGTTGTATTTGTTACATGGTATGGACTTCTTTGGCTCTATATCTTTTGTAATTGTTATGGAGTCCATGAAAACAGCCCATATTGTGCACAACTTATTCTGATGCTAGCTTCTTATCTTCTTTTCATGTGCAGAAGTAGAGTTTATCTCATGACGGAGATATCTTTTCTTTATCAAATTAGTCTGCTATTTTTTTTAAGTTCCTTTGGAACGATTCCTTTTAAAGTCTCGCCATTCACATAGTTCATAAAAATGTGCTTAGATACAACAACAGCAAGAACAATAACAATAACAAAAAACCAAGTGCAATCCCACATGTGGGGTCTGGGGAGGGTAGTGTGTACGTAGACCTTACCCTTACCTTATGAAGGAAGAGATGTTATTTCCAATAGACCCTCAGCTCAAGAACAGTGACAAGGACACAATAAACCAACATTAACAATGGCAAGGAAATAAGATAAAAGAAACAAATAGCACATCATGTCATAGCAGAGAACTAGGAATACGAAGCTATAAGAGAAGTGCAAAAACTACCGGCAATAATGCCACATTGTTTAATCAGCAAGGAACTCGGAATAGGAGAATACAAGACTTGTACTAATACTACTAATACGACTAGAAGAGACTCTCGACTTCCTGTCAACCCACAACCTTAATCTTCGACCTCCACACCTCCCTAGCGAGGGTCATGTCCTCGGTAAGCCGAAGTAGAGCCATGTCCTGCCTAATCACCCTCCTGTACTTTCTAGGTCTCCCTCTACCTCTCTTCTAACCCGCTATGGTCAACCTCTTGCATCTCCTCACCGGGACATCGATGTCTCTATTCTTCACATGCCCGAACATTTGCAAAACATTTGCATTCTTGTCATTGATCCCCCCTCCCCCGGAAAAGAAAAAGATTGAAAGAGTGCAACTTTAGATGTTTGAATAATTACAACTGCTTGTGAAGTTCCAAAATTTTGTTAAATTGGACTCTTAAGAGTGCTTCGAAGTAATTTTCACATCATATATTTAACATGTCCGTTTCGGAGCTGCTTCAATAATATGTACTCTTTTTGTGTTTATTTATCTTCTGAGATCTTATCCGGAATTTTCAGGTGATCGCGGCATAGCACATGCTCAGTTAAATTGGCCTACTCGCCTGAAAATCATCCATGGAGTTGCCAATGGAATGAAATTTCTTCATTCTGAGTTTGCATCATATGATGTACCTCATGGGAACCTTAAGTCTAGCAACATTCTTCTTACTGCAAATAATGAACCACTTCTCACAGATTATGCTTTTTACCCACTAATCAACAATTCACAAGCTGTCCAATCCCTTTTTGCTTATAAATCACCTGAAGCCATACTAAACCAACAAATCTCTCCAAAAAGTGATGTCTATTGTCTTGGAATCATAATTCTTGAAATCCTTACAGGGAAATTCCCGTCACAGTATCTCAGCAACCAAAAGTGTGGAACCGATGTTGTGCAATGGGTGCAGTCAGCCGTTGAAGAGAAGAGAGTATCAGAACTGATTGATCCACAGATAGCAACAGCAAAAGATTCTCTTGAAAAGATGGAGACGCTCCTTTATATAGGAGCTGTGTGCACTGATAGCGACCATGATAAGAGAATTGACATGAAGGAAGCGATAAGGAGGATAGAAGAGATAGAAAGTTAATTTGATGGATTCAACTTTTGAAAAGTGATTGGTTTGCCGGGAGGCTCAATTTCTCCGGCTAACGATCAATTCATGAGCTCTACAAAGAATTAGTCGGCAAAGCGCTTGTTTATAACTCTCCATGACTACCAGTAGAGGCTTATGAAGGGCATCTTACAAAGGAATCTCTGCAGAGCATCAAAGAGGCCGAAAGGATTTTTTGTAAAAGTATTCAATTAGATAAAAAAACCAAGACATAGGAGAGTGAAGGAGCTTAATTTCATTATGTGGTTTATATGTTACATGGATGCTTCATTTGTTTTGAAATATCTGTGTCAAACTGGTGTGACATGGTTGCGGATTCTTCAACATGCACTACATGTTAGTAAAGCTGAAAATAACTCAATGAATTACACACACATATCGGATACTAATCAATCTTGAGACCATGTAACATAAAGCAATTTCATTTTTTCTCTCTATAGTTTACTGTATTCAGATTACCGATGCAGATATTCTCTGTGTACAGCTTCAGTCATACACTTACACATATTCTATCTCTTTGAATTGAATAGAACATGGATGGAATGCCAGTTAAAATAGTGACTACACTAAGAGTAAACGTAAAGACTATCATCTCTGCAGAACATCAAAGAAGCCCACATTTTATTACATCTGCTAAAATATTTAAAAATACACCCTATATTTTCTCTCTTCTTGAAAACACTAAGCTTACGATCTGGCAAAAGCAGAAGCCATGGAAAAAATCCTGTCCCATTAGAACAGGACCATGAATTAAGTTTAGTTTTGTCGTGGGATGGTGCCTGTCAACTCTTCCATATCATGCAGTGAAAACATATTCACCGCTACCAAAATCTTATAAGAATTTGAATTTTGTACAGCCAAAAGGAAAAGAATTGAATCTGCAAAAGTAATAAACATTGGTGAGACGCTTTGATGGATAATTACTGATGACATACAACATATCAAGTTTAATGGTACCTCATCTTTCCAAAAACTGGCTATGGCCTATGGAAGAGATCAATCATATCTCTAGTACAATAACTGTACAACAAAAATGAATAAAGTTAACATCCTTAAAAAGTTATTGGCCCCAAAACTAAAAGATTTCATGTATTTAGGTATTCATCAATGGGCAAGGGCTTCTTACAAATGCTTGTTTTGTTAATGTATATAGTAGAAAAGAAGTTATTTCCTCATTAAATTTACATTCACAATCTGATGTGTGAAGGGGGCCTTGGCGTAACAGGTAAAGTTGTTGCCATGTGACTAGGAGGTCACGGATTCAACCAGTGAAAACAGTCACTTGCAGAAATGTAGGGTAAGGCTGCATACAATAGACCCTTGTGGTCCGCCCTTCCCCAAACCGCGCGCATAGCGGGAGCTTAGTGCACCGAGCAGCCCCTTTTTAATCTGATTTGTCCTGAGAGCTTCTTGCAAGTGCTTGTCATGTTAATGTAAATAGTAGATGAAGAATTGTGCCATTTAAACTTACAATCAGAATCAGAGTTGTCCCATTTATTTCCATCCTTCACGGTCTCAAATGCTTCATCTTCACTATCAGTCTCAACAATTTTTCCATTGTCCAAGTATTTCTTTTTCACAGCCCTTGGACTGGATGCTTGCGGGAATATCTTTTTGTGAATTATGGCCCTCAGAATCTGCAGATAGCATTTTTTTCTCACGTTTAAAATAAAATCACTAAGTTTATATGTGAATAAAATCTGCATAAGAACAGAAGATCAATAAAGCTTTTACATAAATAGATGGGGTCTCCTTAAAAATATGTTGATGAAAAGATCAACATTTCACAACCAAAATTTAAAGCAACTATAAGTACAGTTCAAGATTGATTATGTCTATCATTGTCTAATTGAACTTTGAGATCCAGGATGATTCCTTGATAAAACATGCTTGACCCAGCCAAAACATATAAATATTGAGGACATTGATCAACATGCTGCAAAGTTTGTAAACATGTAAGAAATAAGAAAAGGGAACAGTAGACAAGATTAATGCCATACCATATGCTCCCTCTCATTTTTTATAACACACTTTCCTTTTTAATCTTTTACTAAAAGAATGGCACCTTTCTATATTTAGGAACTTTTTAAATTTAAAATTTCCATATTACCACTAGTGACCTACCCTTATAGCCACATAAATGTAGTGGCATGTTTAGAAGTACAAGTTTTAAGTAGTTCTTTCTTAAGCGATGTCCAAATTAAATGCAACCGTATGAAATGAAATGGAGGGAATATAACATATCTTTTGTAAGGTTTTATTAAAAGTTGATAGAGTGTACAAACCTTCTCCAATCTTAATTTCTCAAACTTTGACTGAGAAATGGGATCTCTCAAAAGAGGGGGAGAAGGGACTGTGAATCGACCTCTGCAGGCAAATGCCTTCTCAAGAAGAAAAGACAATGTCTTCTTACTAATGCCACTGTTTGTGTTTTCCAATTGAACTTCTTGCTTTTTTCCACATACAATACTGTTCCTCTGCTTGAGATGATTCTCTTTATCATCTTCCAATCTTTGTAGACAGTCAAAGAATTTCACGAGATCCTTCGTTGAACCCTTAGCCGAATCAGGGGAAGTACTATCACAGAGTAGTAGTTTTAGTTCTTTTTGAAGTTGTCCAACTTCTTCAGGTGTAAGCTTTTCAAGATGATCAGGGCAGGAAGGCTGATGATTCAAGTTCCCAAAATCTTTATTCAAACTGTTATTTCCAAATGTCCCAATAGCAAGAAGTTCAATTGGCCAGTCATTGAATTCTTCTCTACAGGGTTGATGCAACGTATGATCTATTGTAAGGACAAAACACTTATTATAAACATACGAAGGGTCAAAACTCATGAAGAAATCAAAGGAAATCATGAATGCTTACTTGTAACTGTCACTGATTTTTGTTTGTGGATTCTTTTCTTTCCATTATTCTTGCTTTGGAACCAATTAAAGATCTGCATTCAACATAAATGCTAAATTTTTTAGGTAAAGAATACACACCTTATTCTTTGCTATGCAAGTGTTAAATTTGTCCAACTTAATTACCTTCATTCTTGGAGAAGTGCAGACTATGGCAGGTTGGTAGGCTCTATCAATGTGATTAGGGCGGGCTTATAGGAATGTTTGTTTGAACACAAATCCCGTTGGACAAAGGAAGCTGAGCTTCCTTGACTTTATATAGAGATGGGATAGCACGAATTTCCAGAGTCATTGCCAAGCTGGAAGCAATGGTTCAATTTCCCACACGGCTGTACCTGCCGACCTTTTTAGTGTCTTTTTTACATGGAAGTTTCTTCTAACTTAAGAAGTGTTTTCTTAGTATAACATGCAAATCGAAACTCTACCTACACCAGAGATGCACCGCTTGTTAATGAACTATTAGTAATATTGGGAAAAAAATTTAAGATAACTAGGCTGAAGTATAGGTGTCTAATGGTCCGGTTCAACCCATTTATGACCCAAACCAAACCGGGAGTTGACTTTTGTGTTACTGGGCTTTGATTAGTGTCCCGAGACTTTAAATAGGTTAATTTTGTTGATTGAAACTTGTGTTTAAAGTTTGGTTGTCATTCAGAATGTCTAAGTGTGATTCAGACGCATTCGACAAAAAAATTGAATGTTTGAAAGTTAAGAGATTGATTCGATCTTCGATTCTTTGTTTTGATGTTATTATTCATGTTTTGATATTTTGGACAAGTTATAATACGGTATTTTTACTTGTTGGTATGATTGGACAGAGTCCCGAGGGGCTTGGGTGTGTATTGAATCATTGGTTGATAGACAAGTTATTAAATAAAGAATTTAGACTTTGACTATGGTCAACATCGGGTCAAGATGACCTCTTTTCGGTGTTTTGAGTGCGTGCGTAGGTTCGTAGCATGTTTTATGATTGAAATGCAAATGTGGTTTGTGTCAGGGGGGTTCCGGATGAGTTTCAGGGTGGTTTTGGATCATTTCAATATAGTTTGGGATTGCCGATGCTGATACTTCACAATTGCGAACTCCACATTTACGAACTTCTGGTGGCAATTGCGAACTCCGCAATTTGCGAACTTCTGGTCTCAATTGCAAAATCCGCAATTGCGAACCTGTGGTTGCTATTGTGAACATCCGCAATTGTGGACTTTTGGTCACAAATGCAACATCTGCAACTGGGTTAGGGGTTGGAATTTCAGGGTTTTAGCTCATTCTTTCATATTTAAACTCTAGACTTGGTGAGGGGCGATTTTTCATGGAAATTTTCATACAAGGCAAGAGGATAGGTTATTTTTTACCTATTTGTGATTATATTTCAAGAATCTACATGAATTTCTACACCAAAAACAAGGAATTTCAAAGTGAAATTTGGGATTTTTGACTATACTTTAAGAAAGTGTATTTAAATGATTTGAGAATCGGTTTGGAATCTAATCATATATATGTACTCAACAGGTTATGGATCATTAGATTTTGTTATTGGTTTCGGGTTTCGGGCTGCGAGCTCGGGGTTGACTTTTGTTTACTTTCGGGGAATTCTTCAAAGATTGAGACTTTATTGATTGGGATTACTTTATATGGCATTGGTTGACTTTCTTGATTAATGATTGGCTAGTTTTGAATCGGTTAGAGATGATTTCTCAAGGAAACGTGATTTTGGAACTTTGGGCTAGCCTGGATGAGGTAAATGCCTTGCCTAGTTTTGTTGAGGAAATGTTTCTAATAAATGATATTGTTTGCTATATGGGAGAGTGATGCATACTCGGGGTAGATTATATACTTCTTTGTGCCTTGTTGAGCTTCGTGAACTTCTTGACTTATGTCTTACTTGATTTCTATGATAACATGAGTACAAATATCTAAGCTAAAGATCATGTTTTTAGCTTATTACATCTTAAACGAATATGATATTGATAATTTTTTGAGAGTATTGATGTACTGAATTCGGCAGTAGCAATAACTATATAATAAACACATATGTATATATGTTATTCTTGTGATACTTAGGCATCCATATGATCTTTATCATGTTTAAATTTTGTTGAGATACTTGGACATTATGTTTCTCGAATTATTGGCTTGCGTATTGGTGCAAAAGCTACGTTTATCTTTCAGGTGTATTATTCTTAATCATTCTTCTTGATGTAATTTATGCCTTTTACCTTACTTGGTAATGTTATATATGCTTGGTAGGGAAGAATAAATTGCACGAATGGTGTTTTCGTGCTTGTGAGGAAGAGTGATTTATAAACGAAGGGTGTTTATGTGCTTCTTGACATTATTATCGTTGCACGAAGGGTGTTTTCATGGTTGGTGAGGAAGCAATAAATACACGATGAATGTTGCTGTGCTTTTTGATATTATATCCTGAACATACCCCCTTTTTATTATATGGGTTTGCAACTATGGCTTATTGGTTCATGTATATTGTTT